CCGGCTATTTTTTGGTTGCAGCCGTCATTGTTGTTTGGCGGGTCTGGGCTGGGGATTCGAACCCGCCACCTTAGGTGTACGTGGCTGGCGCCTTAGCTGGTTGAGCTATAGGCGCTGAGCCAGGAATAAAGTTCTTACTGGTGAAATTGTAGATTATTAGGAGGTGTTTTGGTGTGAAGAAGTGTGTGTATGTGAGAGATAGTTTTTCCTTGGTTTTTCTGGAATCACACTATGCAGGCAACTGCCTACTCCACCTATGTGGTGCAGCCCCATCCGCCAAAGCGCATTTCCTCCCAGGTGAAATAGGTTCTCACCCATCTTCTCCCGCCCTGCCCCATCCTGTGCCCTCTCCTAGGTCCCTGCAACCTGCACAGACTGAGACAGAAAGGGCAGGCTGCAGCAGGAAGGGAGGGAGGACTGGAAGGAAGGGGAAACCGGCAGAGGAAGGCAGGCCCAGGTGGTGGAATGGACAGCTCAGCTGGCCCTCCCTGGCTCTGGTCAGAAGCCAGCCCAGCTGCTGCTCCTCCTCCACCTCAGCCCCACCCTGCCCCAGCAGTGCACCCCTGCCTTATCTGAGCCACCAGCCCAGCTCCACCTCAGCCCACCCCTCCTCCCCACAGCTCCCCCAGCTCCTCATTGATAAGACCTGCCTGCAAGGACCTCCGAGGTTGGGCCCACTTGTCCCACTGGGCTCTTGTTGTAGTTCCCTGAACCTGCAGAATCACAGCCTTGGGCCCTCGGGCCTAGCCCTTGCTCCTATTCCAAGCCAATCACTGCCTGCCCTGTGCCTGTGCCAGCCGCCTGCTAGCACTTTCACACGTTCCCTCTATACTTCACACAAAAACAGCCTGGTAGAGAAACCAGGCTGAGAGTTAACTTGCCAAAGTCCCCCCCACATAGGAACCAGGCTAGAATTCTTACCCGGGCCTATCTGAGGCCAAATGCTATTTTCAAGTAGTCCCCACAGATACCCCTTGAATCTGAACTTGGGGCTTTGGGGTCCCTTGTGCTAACCTGGGATGGTGGAGACACCCAAAGTCCTGCTTGCTGACTGCATCTGGGGACCCTCAGGCTCTGTGCCACACAGCCAGGGTCCAGCTGGGCTGGAGGCCACCGGGGCAGACAGTGAGCGGTTGTGAAACAAGGCACACTGTCCTGGCAGGCTGGCGTCAGGGTGGGCAGGGAACTTTGCTGCTCTTCTTTTTCTGCAGTTTTAGCCACGGTGCCGCGGCCCCGCCTGCTTCCCTTTCTCTCTCCTGTCTTGCTCTGTCCCCTTGTCTTTGCTTTCTTCGTTTTTCTTCCCTCCCTCCCTCTCTCTTTCCCTTTCACCCTCTCCCCCTCCTGGCCCCACCCCCGCAGTTACTGTGGCAACAACTCAATGCCAGAAATAAAGGCAGCATGCAGCTAGGTCACCAGTTCCCAAAACAGCATCCCAGGGTGGGGAAGAGGAGGGCGGGGCCTCAGGCGGCAGGGCAGGGCCCCTACTCCCAGGGGTGTGTGTGTTGTGGGTGGGGTGGGACACCACACTGGCCCTGAAAAGGACACCATGAGGGCTTGGGCTGGCTCTGGGACACAGGCTCATCAGAAGTATCACTTACTGAGGCCAAACCTGAATCCTGAGTCTTTCTAAGCCTGGCAAAGCCTAGTGCTTCCTCCTCTCATTTTCTCCCTCTCACACCCTAGTTCTATCTGCCAGGACCAGGAGTCCTCTAATACCAACACCATACAACACCCTCTCACTCTCTGAGAAGGACCTGGCAGGGGCAGGCGGCAAATCCAGAATCTACCTGCGCAAGGCCTTGCCCTCTGCTGTTCTCTTGAGGACCACAGGATGGTCACAGGTACTTCCTCCCTTGCTCTCCCCCAAGGCACGCGAATATGCATCATTCAGCTGTTTTCTCTTAGGTCTCTCTCAGGCTTGAGTTTCCACATCCTCTTACCTCTGGAGAGGTCCCCGCTTCCTATGTTCCTGGCATAGTGCTGCTCAGACCTCCATTTATAGCAGATCCTGTTGAATGAGCCGGACTGAGAGAGATGGGGCAATAGAAGGGCCTTGCTCCTCAAACCAGCTTTCTGAATTCTGGGGCACCCCTAGCCTGGTCTCTGCACACAAAGGCACCTTGGACAAGGGATTCTGCAGACACCTATCCCCAGATGGACAACCTGGTCCACATGGCCATGGAGAGGCTGTCTGCACTGAGACAAGACTCACAGGTGTGCAGATGCAGAAAAGTCTGCACTGGGCGGCGCCTGTGGCTCAGTGGGTAGGGCACCGGCCCCATATACCAAGGGTGGTGGGTTCAAACCTGCCCCGGCCAAACTGCAACAAAAAATAGCTGGGCATTGTGGTGGGCACCTGTAGTCCCAGCTACTCCCGAGGCTGAAGCAGGAGAACCGCCTAAGCCTAGGAGTTGGAGGTTGCTGTGAGCTACGACGCCACAACAACCTACCAAGGGCAATAAAGTGAGACTGTCTCTACAAAAAAAAAAAAAAGTCTGCACTGAACGAGTCGCAGAGCTCATGCACATGGTTGCAGGCGGGGGGAGACTCCAAGGCCCTGCTTGCCAGCTCATGCGCCCACTCTCCCAGCAAGGCCCCCCCCACAGTGACACACAGTGTGGCTGACACCCCCTCACATCCACCCACCCATCTTTTCCTTGGCATCCGAACCAAGCAGTGCACGTGGACAGCAACACACACACAGTCCTTCCACTACCCATGTGCTGGGGGCTTCCCTATGTGCCCCGTTCCCAGCGCCCAGCTGCTTTCTTCCTGCCAGACCTGCTCCTGCTCCCCTGACTCTCCTACCCTGGCAACCAGTCCCCTGGGAGAAACACACTGGGTGTGTCTGCCCTGGAAGGGTGCTGGGCTTAATATGCCCAGGAAGGAATAGGGCTAGCGAGGGGGAGTCCAGGACCCTGGGGATCCTGTCTGCTCAGCCCCAGCCCCTTCAGTCCCTTCAGCAGCCAGTGTTGGGAGAGTCTGAGTTGGGCCTGCAGCCACACCCTGCCACCCAGCCTATCTCTTTACTGGGCCTCACCCCAGCCTGGCCAGCCATGGGCTGAGAGGTTTCTATAAGGAGCCAGCTCCAAACTTCCAACCCTCCAGGGTCCCTGGGGTGGTAGGAAGGAGGCTGCAGGGGCTGGCTTAATCCTTTCATTATTCAGCAGAGAGGGAAGGACTCCCCCTGCCCACTACAAGTCCCCCTGACTCCATCACTCTCTCTCTGGCTGGTGCAGCTAGGTGGGCAGGGTGGAATGACTGGAAAGGGGATATTAGTGTGGCAGTACAGACCCCCCAGATCAGAACACTCCAGCTGTTTCCCAAATCAGGTTTGATCAGATCAAACCCAGCTAGTCCCAGGGTCTGGCCACCAGGGTCCACTCTCCCACTGAACAGGAAGCCACAGCTGACTCCCTCCCTGGGGATTCCCTGCCACCACTCAAATCCTCACTTCTAGGTATTGGGGTCCAACTGCCCACAGAGGAGAAGAGAGCTGGAGACCCTGCCACCTACCTCTTCCCAGACAGTGTGGCCCAGATGCTCTGAGGCCCCTGAGGCCTGAGAGGCCCAGGCCCAGATCCACAGCGGTGCTTTTTCTCCGAGCCTAGGTAATAGGCAGTCTCTTCCAGGAACCCAGCCGCGCTTTCCCAGAGCACAAATAACAGGAAAAAAGCCAGCTTGGGGTGGGGGGTGGGTGGGTGGGAGCTAACGAAGGAGGGGAGCTGGTTGTGGCTGAGTGGTCTGATCTCCCCTCTGGGCCCCCACCCCCTCGCCCCCACGCTGCTTCTCAGCCAGCCACGGCTGCCTGGATCCCCAGTGCTGGGGAGTCCGCTTGCATCTGGGGGTGGACAGGCAGCCTGGCGGCCTCAGCTCCCCCCACGCCCTGCCCGCACCCTCCCACCTCCAGCTGATAGCGTGTGGCCGCCCAGGGTGTGTGTGTGTTTGGATGTGTGTGCTCTTCCCCAATCGCCCGCCCGACTGCAGCTCAATCCATTTCAAACAAGAGGAGCATTAACCCGGCATCATGACGAAGCAGAATCCGGCAGCGATGTCCTGTTTCCCTTTCCCACACCCCCCACCTTGCAGCACTCACACTCTCACTTACACACTGACAGGCACAGAGCCCCTCAAGCTTCCCCACAGCTGGAGAGGTCAAATTGTGGTCGGCAGACGCAGCCAGGGTGTGTGCTGGTAACCCAGGGGACAATGCCTGGCTTCTGTAGCACCTGCACCTGCACCCATTCACAGTGGCCCCATCCTCCAACAGCAGCATCTGAGGCCTCTGGGGGTCCAGACTTTGGGGTGGGGGTGTAGGCAGAAGGGCCAGAAGATTAGCCCTCTCTCTGGAGGGACAAACGGAAGGATGCAAGAAACCATGTCCTCAGTACTGGAGACCCAGACTGCCCCTTCAGTAACCCTAGTCCCCTGGGAACTGCAATGGGGTGTAGCAAATTGAGAAGGACCCCATTTCCCCCCAGGGCAGTGTCATGAGAAGGGAGCTTCCTGCTAGGTGATCCCCAGGTCCTAACACAGAGTGTCCAGGGACATGCCTGGAAAAACCTCAGCCAGCCCAGGACCCTGTCCCCAGGCGGGGGAGGATGGTAAGCCTGGCCAGCGACCCTTGCCCTGGCCCCAGCACCCTCTCCACCTCCGCAGACTTGCCTACCTAGGCAGGCCTCGCTGTTGCCCTGGCAACCACTGCCCACAGCCGGTCAGCTGATGGTATCAGCTGCTGTTGGGGAAATCTAGAATCTGGGGAGGGGGCTCTGGGATAGCTGAATGGAGACTCATGGGGGACAGGTGAGGGTGTGCCTCAGGGTCTCTTTCTCTAGGAGAAAGAGATAGGAGGGGACAGAAGCAGTGGGGGTCGGTATCTGACCAGTGGGGATGGAGAAGACTGCCTTCAGAGATGGGCTCCAGACAGAAAGGAGTGAAGGAGGCAGGTGGCGGAGAAGAGAAGGAACCAAGCTTAGCTGGGGGTGGGGTTCTGTGGAAGGTAGAGAAACCCATGGTGGGGGAAGAAACACCAGACCCATCACACCTGGGAGAAAAAGGCCAGGAGTGCAATCTGGGGGTGCGCACCTTTCATGTGGCGGGAGGGGGCTGCAGCCTTGGAGGAGGAGCTACCCAGGGCGCTTCTCCACGAGCCTCTCTGCTTTCTGAACCTTCAGCCCCACCTGTACTACCCTCCAACCAGGGTCTGAGAGAGATAGAGGAAGCCCCAGCATTCAAGCCCTGAACAGCCTCCCTCTATCCCTCCAGACACCAGGCACCAGGGACGTTGACACCTCAGCCCTCTCCGACCTCAGATTTTCCACACTATCTCAGTCTCTTCCTTGCTCTTACCCCCCCCATCAGAACCCACCCGAAGAGACAGATCTTCAGTGCAAGGGTCCCTAGAAATAGAGGTGGAATGAGCAGATGCCGAGAAGGACAGCTGTGGACTGGGGCCTGGAATGAGGTGGGTTGTGAGCCAGGATTACCGGCTGGAGGAGGGAAGCCGCCTCCCAACAGGAGCACGAGGTGCAGGGCAGAGTGGGGGGGGGGTCCGGGGAGTAGGGCGGGGAGGAGGGGAGGAGGAGGAGGGGGTGGGTGTGCAGTACCTTCAAGGGCCTGGGGCGTGGGGCAGGAGCACAGCAGCCTCCTGGGTGACATCCACCTCCATCCCTCCGCGCATCTCCTCTCCGCCTCCTGTTGCCAAGACAACCTGCCGGCAGCTCAGGCCGGCTCAGCCTTGGCGGTGGGAGGGGGAGGAGGAAGCTGTGGTTCCCACTGCCTCTTCCTCAGGGATAGTAGGGGGTTCTGTGTGCTGGGGCTGGTGGTTAGGGGAGCACCTGGGGAGCTAGGTCTCCCCCAAGCCCGAGAAAGTCTCCCCTCCCCCATAAGGCTCTAGGATTGTCTCCCGGGGTGACCTAGGGAGATCCCCAGTTCAGGGCCAGATAGCAAGCAGGCCGATCTTGACGGGGGTGGGGTGGGATGGGGGTCAGCACAGCACTGGGGAAGAGTATTCTGTGCCAGGGAACCCCAGGTGGAGGTGGGGAAGGAGACAGAGTACTGGGAAGGGTTGACCTCATGCTGAAGGGCCAGAGGGGTGCTTCTGGCAGGGAGGGAAGACCCCTGGGCACTGTCTGCTGGGGTGGGTAAGCAGCTGGGGACCCCAACTCTGCTGTCTTTGAGCATTTCCTCCTGGTCCCAAACCTTCTTTTCCTCCTAACCTAGAGGAGAGTCAGTGCATAGGACAGATCTCTTCTAGTCCCATCCCACTGCCCATTTCCTCCACGGGGCTGGTCACCTTGGGCAGCCCCTTCCAGCCCAGCCAGCTCTGGCCCCAAGGGACTGCAGAGTTAGGGCTCCCTCTGTTGACTGAGGAGTGGCAGCTGCCAAGGTCATTCCTGGTAGCAAGGAGTGTATGTGTGTTGGTGTGGGCACAGCCAGGCCAGGAGACCCTGCTCCCCTGTCACGCTCTGTCTCCCCTTCATCCCTGTCCTCGTCTGATAGACAGACTAGCTCAGCCACAGACCTTCCTCCTGTAAGGCCCAGGCTCCTCAAGGCCAGCTGGACTAAACACCCCCACCCACTCCACCCTGGTGGCTCGCCTGCCCTCTCTGCCTGGCTGGGATGGGGGAGGCAAAACCTTCTCCCAGAAGTGGCAACACTACACTGGACACCGGCTAATTCCAGACTAGGTGGGTGGTGTCCTGAGCACCGCTCAGCTTGGCTGCCCAGGAGGTGGGAGGTGCTGAAAGGACTAGCATACCTTTAGAAATTCAGGAGTTCTCCAGGCCTTGAGGATGGTCACTTGCATTCACACAGGGGGCTGGGGCTCCTGCCCCTCTCAGGCCTTTTCTGGGCAAGGTCATTGGTGTCAGATGTCCTGAGTGGACTCTGGCCCTGCCGTCTGCCCCCTCCCCAGCCTGCGCAGCAGGCTTCTCTGCCCAGTCACTCCCTCTGTCTCACTCCAGTGCCCCCTAGCCCCACCCCCCACCAACCTGCTGGGGAGGGGAGCTACAGGGGTGCCCCCCCCATGCTGTCTAAATATTAACTCCTGGAGAGGCTCAGTCAGGGCTTCTGGACACCGAGGGAGGAGGGAAAGGGAACAGAGATCTGAGCAGGAGGAAGAAAAAGGAAGGATGAGGGCCTGAAAGTGACCTCTTCTCATCAAAGATCAAAAAGCCACACCCTCTGCCTCCCAGCCCACCTGAGCCTTAGCACCCAGCAGCTGCCACCAGACCACATCTGGTCACTCCCCTTGCTAAAGGCCTTGGGTCTCTCTTCCCTGTCACAGCATAAGAACCACATTCTTTTTTTTTTTTTAGAGACAGAGTTTCACTTTATCGCCCTGGGTAGGGTGCGTGACGTCACAGCTCACGGCAACCTCCAACTCCTGGGCCTCGGTGATTCTCTTGCCTCATCCTCTCAAGTAGCCAGGACTACAGGCGCCCGCCACCAGCTATTTTTTGTTGCAATTTGGCCAGGTCCGGGTTCAAACCCGCCACCCTCGGTATATGGGGCCGGCGCCCCACCCACTGAGCCACAGGCCGCCCAGGACCACAGTCTTTATCATTCCTACCACTTCTTTATAAGAACTTTCAATTCTAGTCAAACTAATGTACTGCTCACCTTTCCCTGAACACATCTCACATTTTCCTGCCTTTCTGCCCATGCTGTTTTCCCTTTTAATGTTTTCCCCTTCACGCATCTTCTTTCCACTCAAATCATACCCTTTAGTAAGCACCCTCCCCCAAACCCCCTGGGCTTGGGGAGGGGAGTGGAGAACATCACGCTCCCGGCATTGAAGATGGGAGAGAATCTAGACTGCAGCGCCCTCTAGCTGTGAGGCCAAGAATGGTTTAACACCGGGGTGTGAGCTCATGCACATGTGACCCATGGGGACATCTGACTGCCCTAAATAAAGGGGGTACAAGTGAGCGTAGTACCTAGAGTGCCACCTGGCATGTCTCTGGAACTCAGTGTCTATTCCTTTCTGTAGTTCTAATATCTCTTATGTCCTCTTTCATTCTTTTGGGACGTATCAAAGGCTGATCTTTTTTTATTGTTGGGGATTCACTGAGGGTATAAGCTACCAGGTTACACTGATTGCATTTGTTAGGTAAAGTCCTTCTTATAATTGTGTCTTGCCCCCCAAAAGGTGTGTCACACACATAGACTCCTGTTTTGTTATCTTAAGAGAAAGGGATTTCTAAAAGTCCCACCAAAGAACTGCCTTTTTTTTTTTTTTTTTTTTTTGAGACAGAGTCTCACTCTGTTGCCTGGGTAGAGTACAGTGGTGTCATCATAGCTCACTGTAATTTCCAACTCCTGGGCTCAAGCAATCCTCCTCCTGCCTCACCCTTCTGAGTAGCTGTGAGCTACCATGCCTGGCTAATTTTTTCTATTTTTGGTGGAGATGAGGTCTCACTCTTGCTCAGGCTGATCTCAAACTCCTGACCTTATGAGATCCTCCTGCCTTGGTCTCTAAGAGTGGTGGGCAGGAGCTACTATGCCCATCCAGAATTGTCTTTTTCTGGGTTTATGCCTCCAGTCAAATTTCAAGTGCCTTGAGAG